AAATGATATATAAATATAGCTAAAAAGCCTTAAAAAGGATTAAAAAGAGCAAAAAGTATAGCGGTGTAAAAAAAGTGTGCCAGAAAATACAATTTTGTTCTACTCAAGGTTAGGTACCAGCGTCTATATGAAAATCCAATCCAAACCCTATCCATTGAACACTTCTGCCACACCTGAACATTGGATATGCCAAATCCTTTTTGTGACTTGGAGGCCAACCTGCATAAAGTGGCTGCAGCACCTTCATGCATCAAGGTAACACCATCTACATTCCTTCCTCCACTGACTCCGCCTGCTGTATATCAAGCCAACTTTGGAAAGCAAGCGTGCAAAATCCCAACCATGACTTGGAGGCAAACCTGTATACCTGGCTGCAGCGCCTTCATGTGTTTGGATACTTCCTTATCTCTCAGCCTCCCGCTGGGCACCACTCAAGAATTAAAATAGGTTTTGAAATGTGTTTACTATTTAGTACTGGGTGGTTAATAGGTACTTAGACAAAGGGCCAATTTTTGAGCCTCGCATTAAACTCTTCTTATGAAAGAGAGATGTAGTTAGTTGAGCATATATAATACTGTTGTAATGGCAAGTCACTTATAATAAAAGCAAAAAACTGACGGTTGTCTTTGTTCCTTAAAAAAAAAAAAAGATAATTAAATTAAAAATATTTTATAAAAAAAATAAATCAAATAAAACTTATGAAATTAAAATAAATTAATATTTTAAAAATTGGTTTAAAAACTAAATAATATAAAATATCACAAGAAATATTAAAAATTTAAAAAAAAAATTTAATAAATAAAACTTAATTTATATTTTTTGTAATAAATATAAATATATTATATATTGGTTAAATAATTTTTAAATAATAATAAAATCATTATTATAATTATGATATATTATAAAGTTTTAAGTTTTTTTATTATAAATTAAATTCGGATATTCACATAATTAAAAAAAGTTATACGATATATACAGTATACAGAGAAAGTCACGTGATAAAAGAAAGTATGTATAATCTTGATTCAAATACGTATTTCCGGTTGTGTTCTAAATTCAACCAACAAGAAAAAGGTATTTTTATCACGAGAATTGCCTATTAACAAAAAAAAATAATTGATGATGTATAATAAATCGGTTAATAAAATAAATATTAAAAAAAAAAATATTTTAGACGAATTATATAATGTGAAGAAAGAAAAAAAGAAAAACCAAGAATTGATTTTTTTCTATTTTTCTTTCATTCACGAAAAAAAAATCTTTTTTAAAAAGATTTTCCGGTATTTTCTGGAAAAAAAATAAGGTATTTACCTAACTACTATTATGTCTCTATTTGTCTAAGTAAGACGAGAGTAAAACGAATTATTAGTTTTAATCAATTTTGTGTGTATTGCCTATCTGACGGATATTCTTTCTTTAAAAAATTGTGAAAAACTATCAAGAATTCATATTAAGGTATTTCGGGCTTCTAAAGATTCTGCCTGTGTAATGCAGCGTGGAATTATTTTATTAGTCAGTTATATTAGGAAAATTAAAAAGGCTTGGCAATAGGAACCGGTATTTTTAGTTTATGCAGTATTGTATATTCCTTTTTTGGAATAATACTGTATATGTGTGTGGAAATAACCGGATATGCGTCAATCATTAACGTGATACGATTATCCTTTTTTATATAAAAGGACCGGCGAGCGATCCCTTCTGGGTCGTTTTATCGTGTAACCTTAAAGAAAAGCTACCTGCCAGTAGTCATATGCTTGTCTCAAAGATTAAGTCGGTTATACAGGTGAAACTACGAATGGCTCATTAAATTAATTATTTTATTTGATAGTACATTACTACTTGGATAACCGTGGTAATTCTGGTGCCAGCAGCCGCGGTAATTCCAGCTCCAATAGCGTATATTAAAGTTATTGCAGTTATAAAGCTCGTAGTTGAATTTCGGGATTTATCAGTTAGTCGGGCTTCACTGTTCGTATTGACTTGATGGATTCTTACCTTGAAAAAATTAGTGCTTAATATAAAATAGGACGGCATGGTTCTATTTTGTTGGTTTCTAGGATCACCGTAATGATTAATAGGGATAGTTGGGGCGAAAGCATTTGCCAAGGATTAATCAAGAACGAAAGTTGGGGATCGAAGACGATCAGATACCGTCGTAGTCTTAACCATAAACTATGCCGACTAGGAATCGGACGATGTTAATTTTATAATGACTCGTTCGGCACCTTACGGGAAACCAGTGTTTGGGTTCCGGGGGGGAATGGTCGCAAGGCTGAAACTCAAAGGAATTGGCGGAAGGGCACCACCAGGGGTAGAGCCTGTGGCTTAATTTGACTCAACAGGGGGAAACTCACCAGGTCCAGACACAGTTAGGATTGACAGATTGAAAGCTCTTTCTTGATTCTATGGGTAGTGGTGCATGGCCGTTCTTAGTTGGTGGAGTGATTTGTCTTGTTAATTCCGTTAACGAACGAGATCTTAACCTGCTAAATAGTTAGTCCCTCTTTCGGGAGGGTCGCAACTTCTTAGAGGGACTATCGGCGTTTAGCCGATGGAAGTTTGAGGCAATAACAGGTCTGTGATGCCCTTAGATGTTCCTTCACCGGAAGATGTGGTAATCTTTTGAAAAATCATCGTGATGGGGATAGAGCATTGCAATTATTGCTCTTCAACGAGGAATCCCTAGTAAGCGTGAGTCATCAACTCACGTTGATTACGTCCCTGCCCTTTGTACACACCGCCCGTCGTTACTACCGATTGAATGGCTTAGTGAGACTCTCGAATCGGGTTTTAGGAACCGGCAACGAATCCTTTCTTCTGAGAAGTTTGTTAAACTTGGTCATTTAGAGGAAGTAAAAGTCGTAACAAGGTTTCCGTAGGTGAAGCTGCGGAAGGATCATTATGTATTTAAAATTTCAATCTTTATAAAAAAGAGACAACTTTCAACAACGGATCTCTTGGCTCTTGCATCGATGAAGAACGCAGCGAAATGCGATAAGTAATGTGAATTGCAGAATTCCGTGAATCATCAAATCTTTGAACGCAAATTTTACTCTGGTATTCCGAAGAGTCGTGAGTTTCATTAATAATTATTTACTAAATCGTTATAGCGTATTATTTATTTAATTTTTATAATTGAGTTATATAATACAATTTTTTTTTTCAACCTCAAGTAAGATTACCAGCTGAACTTAAGCATATCAATAAGCGGAGGAAAAGAAACTAATAAGGATTCCCTTAGTGTAACGGCGAGTGAAGTGGGAAAAGCTCAAATTTTGAAGAAAGTGTTTGACGTTCGGGTTCGATTTAAATCCTTTGGGATAAGGTATCGTAGAGGGTTAGAATCCCGTTTATGATTGTTTCTTTGAATGTCTATAATTCACTTTTCAAGAGTCGAGTTGTTTGGGATTGCAGCTCAAAAAGGGTGGTAAATTTCACCTAAAGCTAAATATATGCAAGAGACCGATAGCGAACAAGTACCGTGAGGGAAAGATGAAAATAACTTTGAAAAGAGAGTTAAATAGTACGTGAAATTGTTGAAAGGGAAACGATTAAAGTCAGTCATGGTAGGGAATCAACTTGATGGTATGCGGGTTTACTCGTTCTTTCGAGTGCATTTCCTTACTTGCTAGTTAGCATCAATTTTGGTTATCATATAAAAATTGAGGGATGGTGGCTTTTCTTCGGAAAAGTGTTTATAGACCTTGATTAATGTGGTGATCGGGATTGAGGATTGCAGCGGATACCCTTTTGGGCTAGTCACCTGACTTCTGACGGTTACCCCGTCTTTCGATAGCTTGCTAACGTTGGTGGGATTTAATTGTCTAGATGTTAGAGTGATCATAAATTCGCTAGGGATGCTAACGTAATGGATTTAAACGACCCGTCTTAAAACACGGACCAAGGAGTCTAACATGTGTGCGAGTGTTTGGGTATTAAAACCCGTAACGCGTAATGAAAGTAATTCTGATGGGAATCCTTCTCGGGTGCACCATCGACCGATCAGGATATTTTTTGATAGATTTGAGTATGAGCACATCTGCTGGGACCCGAAATATGGTGAATTATGCCTGAATAGGGTGAAGCCAGAGGAAACTAGTGGAAGCTCGTAGCGGTTCTGACGTGCAAATCGATCGTCAAATTTGGGTATAGGGCGAAAGACTAACCGAACCATCTAGTAGCTGGTTCCTGCCGAAGTTTCCCTCAGGATAGCAAAAACTCATTAAACAGTTTTATGAGGTGAATGGTGAGGCCTTAGGGTTGAAACTAGGGTTGAAACAGCCTTAACCTATTCTTAAACTTTAAGGTTACTTAACTTTTTTTTTAACCTGCTAGAACGTGATGATTTTTACCTACACCTTGTTTAGGAATTTACGGGAAGTCGTGATTCTCCTTATCCTTGAATCATAATTTCAAATATTGGTGTACTGTAGATAAATCCTTTGCAGACGACTTGAATAGGACAGGGTATTGTAAGCAGTAGAGTAGCCTTAGTGCTACGATCTGCTGATTTGTTTTTTCCTTTCTGCATCGATTGTCAGGGTTTTAAAATCAATTACGTCATTTCTAGAATGCTATAAGAATTTTTGCTATATTTTTATTGAACAAAAAAAAATGTTTTTTTTTTATTAAATTATGATGAATCATTACAATAAAGATTGCATATATAAATCTTCTCAACCCAGTTCACCCGTCTACAACATTAAGTCTAGATGTGATTTATGGGGATGGGGATGATATATTGAGATTAAGATAAATGAATTTTTTCTCCAATTGTGATTAAAACAAACATATGACAAAATATATTAATTCTCAGGTTAGGCTTGCAATATAAACATATGTTTTTATTATATAAATATAAATATCATTGACTCTTGTGGATAATTGATTAATAAGACTGTTAATAATTTCGACTTAAGCTTGGTCGTTTTTGTCAAACTTTCGAGTCTTCCGTGGCACTTCTTTGCTTTAAAAGGCGCATATTCATTGAACTCAATCCTATCACGTTTTGAATATATGCTCTAGAAATCAATAACGTATTTTGACGTGAAGTCCAATGTAAAGTGACAAGTGACTTTTGATCGTCTATTCTTTTTACATGCCACAAACGAATGACATTATCACCTCCACACGTTACTAAAAAGTCACCCGCTTTTGTATTCTTCCAATCAAGACCATAAACCCTGTCGGGAAAGTATATAATGGCTACGCAGTTACCAGATATCGTAGACCACAGCCGCACCGTCTTGTCTGAGCTGCACGATGCCAGTTGGGTGCCATCAGGTGAGAAGGTCACACTATTAACAACATCAGTATGTCCTTCTAGAGTGAGTGGATTCTGATCTAAATTCTCGATCGACCACAGCCGCACCGTCTTGTCTGAGCTGCACGATGCCAGTTGGGTGCCATCAGGTGAGAAGGTCACACTATTAAC